ATTTAGGTAGCAATGAGCTCTTAGAGCCCATCTACCCGTGTCACGTCTAAATAGATGACAGGTTCTTCCTGTGACGTAAAATATTTCAAATTCAAATTCAAATTCAAATACTATTGATATGATCGAATCCGAAATGGTCTCAAAAAAGCCAGACTTTGATCCGATCTACTTTAAAAAACAGGATAGAAATTACAACTCAACCATTTTATTTAATTATCGAAAATAGATGGATTGTAATTGGTCGCAGGTAGGATGGACTTTTTATTTTGTATCAGACTTCTATTGCGTATACAGCTATCTAGCTATGATAAAATATCAGAGAAAATGTATATTACAGATGCCTCATTTTAAAAGTAGAGCAATCATGCCTCGGATTTCATTTGCAAGTACCACTGTGAAGTTATGTCAGTTCTTTCTTCACCCCAACTCAGCCCTCATCCGTGAATACCCACCCATGGATACGTCTTAAATCCTCTGAGTTATCTTGACTAGCCCTGATTTCCTTTATATCCAACCCAAAAACTGCCTCCTAAATTGAGCACTACGAGTTTTGTTCTACAAGTATTCAAATTGTTGTGGGCGTGTATAAAGTGGGCAGAGAATGAAATTATAACAATTGTGATTATTGAAATGAGGATACACTAGGTCGTGCTTGTAAACATGATGAGGCATTGGTATAAATCGATTTTGCTCAGATGATAGATTGATTTGCTGAAATTTCTTGGATCATTGTCTCGCTGGCCTACTCCTTTGGTAATGCGAAATTTGACTGAACTTAGCTTTGGGAGAATATTTCATATCCAGGTTCGTAAAGGACACCATGGGCAGGTATTCAGTCTTTGAGAACAAAGGAGGGTGGAGTTTACATCTAATTACGACATGCTGTCACCAGGAATAAACTTACAGCCGAGTCTAGGCTTTCTGGCTTTGTCGTCCTGGTTTCTGATTCGGTTTCTTAACACTCACTCATGAACCTCACTCAGCGCCAAGACCCGGGCTCGGATCTAGGCCCAGCCACGCCCGGACATGAAACACTCCGACTTGTCCTCCTTGCTAGTACGTGTCCACAAACACCGGTACAAAGATCCACTTGCATGCCCCAAGATGCATTCATCAGATAAACTTGCGAGAGAATCTTGTCTCCATGCAGATCAGCCTTAACTAAAGAAAGAAGAGCTATCGATGGGATTCCTGGTAGAAAGATTTGGTGAGTTGTAAAGTATCGGTCATTTATGTGGCGACTGAATTCAAGTTGTTAGCTCTCCATGATCACTAATCCAAATTCTGATTTCTTTGCATTCGAGGCTTGGTTGTCCAAGTAAAAGTTACTTCAACAATCAACTGTTATCCGCACATACAGTTCCACTCTAGTCTCGGCACTTATATTAGTTTGTTTCTAAATTAACCTGAGATACATTTGTCACCCATCGCGCTCCTACGGGAGCTTAAGTACCAGTGGGTCCGGACTGGATCAGATTAACTTCCATTAATTACATGAGCCTCTTCCCACTCGAAGAAATAGACTACCTCGGACTTAACCCATGTGTTGAACATGTCAAGTCCAACCATCCAGAGAACCCACTGCGTATACGCCGGAGCGCATATTCCCTGTCAGCCTCGGTAGCCACGAGTCCGAGCCCTTGACACGTTCCTGTTCTTAGGCTTTTCCCTTCCATTATGTTACAGCTTTACTTCGTCCTAGCATCTCTTCATCTAAGATAGGGATCATTTTGTTTACCAAAGTTCTCGTCCAGTCGTGCACCAAAATATTCCCGGAATTTTCTCACATTTATTCCTCTATTGTAGCATTTCTTTTTTTCCTTATGCTGATACCACCATCTCAGAAACTTTGTAAACTTTTCATCTCCATCTCTACCACTTCATGGCCGTACCCGTAACAGTAGAGGTCGAGTCTGCGTTGAAGATCTCAAGGCTGAAGCACCGAAGCCTCGGACTTTGTCGAGTGCGTCGGTGACGCTTCGTCGCAGGTCGAGTTTTTGGTGCTCTTGGCCGAGGTTAAATTACATTTGAGGTCAATAAATCAACCGTATTTCATAGCGCATGGCGGTTGCAATGGGGTCGATGTCCCATTATGTCTTGAAATGTGAGTTCGAATTTCGGACTATGGATAGTTTGGGTAAGTAGTGAGATAATTTTGAGGAAAGCCGCTAGATGAGGTTGTATAGAGGAATCCTCCAGGAAATTTTGATTGTGTGAGGGTTAGTTGTTGCTTGTATGTGTACTTAAGACAGGTCTAAACCTATCTGCAGTTCGTATTTGGGGTGTAGGTGTTTGGCTGTGCAGGGTTGTGCAGTCGTGGAATCTCCGCAAGCTGAGCTTTCGGCTGAAAATCTACCAAAGCTACTCCTCACTTTCGCCGTTTCGGCTTAAACCCTCAAAACCATATTATATTTTAACTAAACATCGACTCAGAAGGAATATAACACGTACAGATTAACAAAAAATACCACTGACAGATATTCCGACTTCATTCTTCTGTCTCGACAGCAAAATCATTCAGTCGAAGATTTATCATTCACTTTTATAAATGGCTGGCCATAACTTTATTAAATCTACCTAAGATTTAGTTATAAAACCAGGGATAGAAACTACTGATTGATGCAGAATCATCATGCGAGCCGATGCGGGAATCATGTCAAACTTTGAGGGACGTATATATCCACGATCTTCACACTCTGGAGCTTCGGAAACAAAAACTACTGAACAATTAGATAACCTTAGATAGAGGTGGAATAGTAGTAACCTGATAGCATCTGAAATTGCCAATATGCATTGTACACATCAAAATCGATAAAATAACTGGGACAAGGATCTCAATCGTAATACAGAATAGTAGTTTGGCTGACTATTACGGGCTAATCTCTGCAGATTCCTTCAAATGGAACCCCTACCTAATCAAACTTTGTGTGCTCTTTGATTTTACAAATCTCGGAAACTATTGTGCACAATAGTATTCTGACGATTTTTTAACCGAATCAACCCAATTCAAAAATTTCTGGAATTTTAGTTATCGCTAGATCAGAGAACTTATTCCCCGGCTTACTTTCAGTCCGCTTGAGAGGTTTCGTATAAATGAAAGTTTAATTATACGATTAGCTACTGAGCTAAGTAGCTATCAATTATGGGCAAAATACCAGAAAAAAATAGTACCAAAAAATGGATGTTTGCAATACACAAGGTGTGGTCCAGGTCAGAGAGGAGCCCAATGTGCTAGATGATTAATGAATCAAGGAGCTCTATATAAATCCAAAGCCTATTTGAACGGGAAAATTTAGTTGGCTCAGCCATGTAGAATCTTTGATCCTTAGCCTGTCAGTAGAGACCCAGTTTACCCCCAAAGCACATAAAATCCAACTAAATCATAAACCATGGATGAATTCTACCTTAACCTATTAACTAAACTACTTGTAATTATTGTGTACTCATTCCCGGGGGGACCACAACAGCAACAAAACGACAAGACACATCGTGGTTTACATTTGTAAGTCGTAAGTCTCGTGCGTCTCTCCTCCCTCGTCTCCTTGAGATGATCTGCTCAGCTGAGGTGTAGACAATAACCAATCGCACTACATCCTTCTTGATAAGGGGAGAATAGTTGTAGGGATTTTACAGGTTGATGTTTTTGATTAAATGTTAGTAGGAATACGAGGAATCACCAGAGTCTTTGAAACAACCAGAATGTAATTGTTAATTGCAGACGAAGAATATTTATCCATGTCCATCATAACCTCTCGTACAGCACCTGCCGCTGTCTGTATCCTTATACTCAAACTCAATGCTGAATTGGCAACCAGGTGTGGATCTTCAATACTAAAAAGTAATATCTGTAAGTTAAAACATGCAATTTAACCCTGAAGTTTCGTAAGATTTTAGGCTTGGAGAATCCTTCTTTCAACTCCACCTGATCCTCCTCTGTTTCAGCAAATCCCTAGTGCTAGCAGTACTTCACTGTCGCAGATCATCCAAGGAGAGACTTTTAACCAGGAGAAGATAGACACTCATTTCACCTGACTGATTGGCACACTACCACTGAGTACAGATACTTATGTGTGGGCAAAGTGGGTGATCAGCGGGAGAAATCGTAGATGCCGACGCCGCCCAAAGAAAGTTGCTACTGTTGATATGATTGCTGCTGCTACTCGTAAAATAGGACGCTTTTGGGGTCATCGTTCCGAGAGTCGGCTAAATACTGGCGCTGTAGTTGCCACTGCAGCTATCCTTCTTTCTGTACGGCTATTATCGCTAGCATCTTATTCTATGAATCTTCTGAATCTATTGGCTCAATCTGCACTATCCTAAATCCTCCAATTTCACGTATTCGTCGCTTTTCTTAATCATCATCTTGGCAGCATTTATTTAGCTCAACTAAAATCATAGCGTTAGTATCCACCACCTCGGTCGAATTTGCAACGTGAAACACGCCGTCAAAACCAGCTGCTGGTGCTCTGGCTACGCCGCAGTCCGAGTCCACAGTCTAGGCACTCTTACGCAGCCTGAGCCCCCTGCCAGAAACCTTAATTATTACGCCGTTCTTCCGCCTACGCCAAGCAAGCCCTGTCTTGGAGCAGCGGCTGCGGCGTGCCTGTGTCTACGGTGGACTGTTGGCTGCGAAGACCGCACGTTATGTGACACGAACACCGTACAGAACTCAAGGGGTTTGACCTCCTAACACAAAATTCGAGACAACATCTGGCCATCGCGATCTCCGATTCCTACGTCTATCGATACTGGTACTGGGAGCCTTCACAGTTGCGCAACGGCGTACCACCGCCGACCCAAAATAGTTGCGCAATAGAGTGCACAGAACTTAGCCCGGCAGGTTAAGTCAAGCAGGTTAGCACAAAGTGGAACGGTGCTCGGCTCGGCTGGACCAAGTAGAGCTGACGAGAGTAAAGGAAAGGAGGACAGAGCTGATCCGACCAGCGCAATCAGGACTCCCAACCAGCATCAATTAGCAATACTAGACAGTGGTTGCAAAAATGGGACGGAAATCTATTTCACCACAGCCACTCAACTTGCCTGATCCTAAATCTATCAGTGACCACTTGCACTTTCTCGACAGCGCGAGATCTGCTGGTAGCCCCGTTTCTCCTACATCCAAACTATCCGGAACGAGATCCCCATTCAAATTCAACTCAAAAAAGGCACAAGCCCAAACACTTCCTGCAACAGAAAATACGCAATCGTCTAAACAGGCCCCGGACTTACCACCGTCCAGTGTCACCCTTCCTTTTCATCAACCAGCTATCTCCCAACAGACTCCACCAAACGAACCAGCCGAGGTTGAAAAACCTGAACGACGTGAACGAGCATCCAGGAGTAGTTTTTTTAACAATTACAAAGCTTCTAGAAGCTCTAATCGATTGCAATCGGAAAAAACGTCTGTCGCTTCAGCAGCAAGTGTTTCTAAAGTTACCGAAAGAACTGTACCAGGATCTCACGTTTCGTCGAACAAAGAGCACCCTCAAACAGGTATGGCCGCTTTGGTTTCATCTCCACACTACAAATGGTCAATTAATTCTAAATTGGTTCAGATTCTACATTAGCCTCTTCAGAAACGCGATCCGACTCGCCACCACCACTCGCTGCATCTTCCAACGTTAGCAAGAAAGTCAAATCGAAGTCCTTCAGCATTCTTTCCCGATCCTACTCCCTGCGAGATGACCCGAGTAGTATTGATCCATCGTTAATAGATATTATTATGGAACCTGAAAAGTCATCCCTACAGTTGGAATCTGTATTGACTCCACCAATTGAGCAGGATAGATCATACCGGGCAAGAATGGCATCCAATATACGGCAACATTCCGCTGAAAGATTACCCTCATTCCAACGCGAACGATCTAAAGAGCAGAAAAATAGAACTACCAAGGACTCATACGGAAAGTCTCAAATAGTTACTAATCTTCAAAAGGAACAGAACAGAAACCCATCCTCACTGTCATCGTCTACCGGGTCAAACACGTTTCTCAATAGTCTAAAGAGCCAGGCAACTAAAGGAGCTGGTGCCCTCAGTAAGGGTCTATTTGGAAAGGGAAGCCGTAATGGAAATATATCCAATGAAAAGTCCCCGGAGGTTGATGATGAACACTACGAGCTTAAGGTCATAAACTTACCATTAATCCAGCAGACTCGACTAACCCGAATCTCCAAGAAATTGGAGGACTCTAAAGATAAGACCGAGTTTTGGATGCCCGCCTTCCCGTGGAGAGCCATTGATTACCTAAATTATAAGGGTAGTGATGTTGAAGGACTATATAGAGTGCCAGGAAGTGGCCCGGAAATCAAGAAATGGCGTAGAAGATTTGATCAAGGTGGGCGCCCTAGTCCTTCTATCTATCAAGCTAATGCGTAAATCTAGAATTGGACATTGATCTTTTTGAACAAAGCGATTTATATGATATAAACATCATAGGTTCAATGCTCAAGGCGTGGCTGCGCGAACTTCCGGATGAATTATTACCAAAGACTGCCCAAGACCGAATTGCTCGTGAATGTGCTAACTCCGAAAAAGTTCCTCAACTACTTATTGATGAGCTTTCCAACCTGTCACCCTTCAATTATTATCTTCTTTTCGCTATCACCTGTCACCTTTCGCTCCTCCTAGCACATTCTGAAAAAAATAAAATGGACTATCGCAACCTATGTATCTGTTTCCAGCCCTGCATGAAAATTGACGCAGTCTGTTTTAAGTTCCTAGTTTGCGACTGGCGGGATTGTTGGAAGGGCTGCAAGACTGAGCCATTCTATGTAGAGCAGGAATACATGCTTTTCGATCAAGTGCAATCTTCACATGCCTCCACGGAGAGTCGCTCTAGTTCAGCTATAGATGGTTCATACGATGATTATGAACGAAACGCCAGTAGTCCGCATGGTAGTAATTCTAGCAGTACTCAGGGTCCAAAATTTCCAACCGACTATGCCTCGAATGGAAGCCGATCTAACTCTCCCAGTCCGCTGACCCCTCCACATAGGTTCAGTAAGGGTGGCGTGCGTTCTGGATCACTATCAACGCCACAAACACTACAACGACCGAAACTAGTGGTCAGCAAGAGCTCAGGTAGTATTAATACCGCAAAGGTAAAAACGCTCGGTGATATGAAATCAGCACCAGAAGAGCGAATTGAAGTGATGCGACCACTCAGTCCGATCAAGCCCTTGAGTCCAATGGGATTTTAACTGAACCCACGGCGAGGAAACAATGTTAGTCTCATGTAAAAAAGTTTAAAGATCGATGAAATAATATTTGGCCCCCAAAGTCGATAATGGGTAGGAGGGCTTGAAGCGCCTCGTTTTAAATAGTAAAACTCTCGTTTAATCCTAAATTTTGGCTCAAACGAGCAGCTATTGTGGCTGGGGGAGTTGGTGCGTTGTGCTTGGAGCTTGGTGCGTTTTGCTTGGAGTACTTGGTGAAAATAACAAACTTATCTCAGGATACGGCTGCTCCGCGTGCATGATTTGGGATGTTCAATACGTGGCCTATTAAGTTGGTAACGGTAAATTTAATGCTTGCTGGATCAGTGGAAGATCTTATTAGACATATCTAGGACTACTAAGTTTGGGTTTTGTGGACTAATTGTTTGTTCTATTCAGATGAGGACGATCGGAAGCCAATGGGGAGGGGCGGAGAGTTGAAAGTTAATACATAGACGATGATCAATGATGGAACAGAGAGTGTGATGTAACCTGCCTATTCTACATGGACTATTGTCCAATCTGCCCTTGGCGCTAAAATATGTAGGTAGTAGCAGGATTGATCATGATACAATTCTTCTCCTTGATGATTTAATTGGAGGTACCATCGGGATCCTGGCTACTGCCTCTGGCTACTCGCTCTAGTCCTATCGTAGGTTAGTTCGGCTCGGCGCATGCAGACTTACTAACCGCGGCCCGACGTTACCTCTCGACCCCGCACTCACCAGGCATGAGAAAAGATGAACGTCCATGAAGTTGTTGCATGCGTCCTTTAACCATAGACAGCAGAGCTACTATCTTTTTGCGCCTAGAAGTTTTATCTATTTTTCAATAACAAGACACGTACGAGAGCTTGCAACTGGCAGAGTTTACTAGTAGATAGGGCCAGAGGAAGGTAAATGGGCGAAATGAAAAATTCAGGATGTCCCAGAAGAAATACACATTATTTTTTCCATTTATATTCAGAACATTAGAACCTCTGTACCATGAAGTTTTTCAGGCTGTCGTAAAGACAAGGTATTTTAACTAGAGTTCAATTGTGCTTTGCCTACATTACATTCCAGGTGAATTGTGCTATAGAGTCTACGCTGCTTTCTCTGTCAAGACAATACACATTGAGCCTGAGATTCTGCTCGGTAGCTGATTTGAAGTCCATGATATCTTCAAGGGTAAATCTAGAAAGATAGACTCTCTGAAAATTGTATGATGCAAATTTTGGCCCCGACGTACAATCTACTGAAATAATTTCTTGACTATCCAAATCGCAGCCCTTTTTTGGGATCCCAGGTTTGAGGTGCTTTCGACGCCTTATTACTAATTACAGCTAAATTATTAAAGGCGTCATCCTTTCCGTCCTGTTTGACAATTGCCATAGGTTCTTTTTTATTATATTTTCCTAAGGATTTATCTGAGCCTGATCCTTCTGGAGCAGCGTAAGAATTTGCATCAGTGAATTTGATTCCCATCTCGGGGTTCCAGATGGAGATGATAGACTTTCCACATGGTTTGTCTCCTACAGGAATCTGTGCCTTTAAACTTGTTGCCGCGATATCCGAAGATGAAAAGTGTTTATCTTGAGAAGTCTGTTTTTCCAGGACATGAGAATTATGTGAAGCATTATATACTGAGTAGTCACGTGTATCCTGTGTTTGAAGCTGGGATTTTAATTCTGGTGCATTTATTGAGAGAGAAGAGACCGACGGCAAGTTTATGTCGCTAAAAATAATCAGTATATAAGTAAGTAATATATTGGGCCATAAGGATTATCATTGAAAATCAAGAAACAAAACCTTCATAGATTTAAATTTTGGAGGCAGAAGCAAGTACGCCACGTTGGCTTTCTGGAGTAGATAAACATTTATAAAAATGTTAAATAGCCATAAAATGATTAGATTTGGCCGTGAACGGCTTACACAAAATGATGTGCTAGGGAGAAAGACGAACCTCTCTAATCGTGTTGCTTCTTCTCTCCTTTGTGCTACCCATACATTTACTTCCTCCCTGAACCTACTTAGAATCTGACCAAGATCGTTGTAAAATTTTCTTGCTGCCTCTAGATTTATAAATATCTCTTTATGTTGATTGTAAGCATTTTCAAGTCTCTGCAAAACTTTTTCTCGCTCCCTGCTAATATCATCATTTCCATTCTTGGCCCGTATGAATTCATCGTTAAAAATCTTCAATTTCTTAATTAAACTTTCTTGCTCCTCTTCTTCATCCTTCACAGCAAGAACATCAGAATCGTATTCTGAGAGCCTATTTTCCAAAAATTCCTCAAAATGAGCTGGCATCAAAGGCTGAAGCTCATTTAATTTTTCAAGTCGCGTGGCCTCAGATATTATGGCTGTGTTGGTGTCATCTTTTTTTGCTTTTTCTCTAAGCAACTCAATTTTCCGACAGCGTCTTATCTCAATTCGACTCAATTCATTGAGAAAATTCCGTAGTTTCGACACTGCTTCTTCAAGGTCTGGAGGCATACTTATACGACGCGAGTTGGGGATAAATTTACCAAGTTCATGATCATTACTAGCTAGCACATGTAGCAAATCTTCGCATCCCTGAAATTTTTCATGAACCAACTGGTCGCTACGTGATGCGCTCTTAAGATACCCATCTATTTCGTCCATTTTTGCATAAAGCTTCGCTGCGGCGTGATTGGAGTCTGGTCGAGTCCAGCGAATAGTCCCGTATTTAGTTTTTAATTTTTCATTTTCGGAATTTTCAATGGACATATATGTCTTTGCTTCGAGGTAGCTAGATGCCGTAGACTCTGCTAGTTTAGAGCTGTCGCATAAAGATTTCTTAAGTCGAGCGACAGCATTAGATTGCCGAATCTCTTCCGCATGAGACACTAGTGTAGGTGGTAGACCAAGAGGCTTTTCAAGTGCCTGGAGGGAGCCGGGAAGAGATAAGGAAGAGAGTGTAGTATGTAGCTTAGTATTGAGATCCTTGAGAGGCACAATTATTGTGTTATTGATCAGTCGATCTTGGCGCTCTTGAAAAATACTCGAGGCAATATGGACTGCGAAGGGTACAAGTTTGGCAAAAAGTGGTGGTCCAAACTCTTCTTGTTCACCAAGAAAAGAACAAGGTGCTGATACCTCAGGGGGGATCTTTGAGGTTGCCATTTCGACTCGTTCTAGATTCCTGAGTTCTGTTCTCGGCGGTACGGGAGCTACATATTAGCATGACTATTCAAAATTAAATTTCCTCCAACTTACAAAGATAGATAATATCATTATCTCTTTCTGCCCTTTTTAAATCTTCGGAAACTTTGGTTTGCAAATCATTCAAATCTTTCATCACTACCTTACCAGCATACCTAGCTTCTTTCAAACCATCTTGCACCTGCGAGAGACTATATCGTAACCTGGCCACTTCCTCACCATAATTACGCTTTTCTAAACACTCACAGGCCTGCCTATATTGGGAAGCTGCTGAAAAATGGTAATGCTTGGCGATTGCATGATGTACCCACTGCGAGGTGACTGCTCTACTCATCAGACCCCAGTCACCTGCACTACCGTAAAGATCGGAAATTTTGGCAGCCAGCTTAGCAATTGACGCGTCTTTGTACCTATCGATCACAGCTTTTTGCCAGAAACATTCCTGGGCCTGTGCAAGAAAAAGTTGTTCCAGGTATTCTAGAGTGGCATCATCCATATCTTCAGGTGGCGTCGATTGCATCTTTGGAAGAATGCATTCTTTAATATGTTTAAGGATTCCTGCAGCAAGACAAAAGTAGTTGCAAGCAGTTCGGAGACCTTCGGTGGTATTGCGATTAGAAGAAATTGCCAGTTGTGAATAAAGTGCAGCAAGATTATATAGAATATTGGCAATTTCAAATTTGAGGTTGTTAAGAATAAGAGGTGTTTGAGTATTATACCCTATAGCTGGATACCAGACAAAATCTACACCCAGCTATCCCTGTTAGAAATCCTATTTGGAGAAGGTCAAATAGGCATCTAGGAGGTAATTCCAGCATTCTGGGTACAATCACGTCTCACTCACATCTATTGGGAACTTTCTTTCAATCCAAGCTAGCTGTGCAGCATAGGCCATAATTTTTTTTACACCAGCTACGTGTGGTTCCGTCACCTGTACAGCAGCCCTACGCAGCGCATCAATTGTTTTGAAGTCTATCTGGAACATATCTGGATGCTGATTATATTTGGCTGAGATGTACTGCTTCATTGCGGAAGAAATCGACTGGTCTGTCGTTTTCCTGAAGGGAAGAGCAAGTATATTACTATTGATTGAGGTTAGTACTTCATTTCGATGTTGGTGTAGAGATCCGCCGACCTAGCCATCTTTAGTTCTTTATGCAGGTATTACACAATTCGATTTCTAGCTTGTAGATAATGGTCTCTGAGACCCAGATGCTGACAAGTAGCTATGTTGTTAATGGTTTTGTATGATCTTATCATTCTTTCACATTTTGACCATGTGCGTGACTAAGCTAACTCAAATACTTCGGGTGTATTAGAAACAATTAACATGGCCGCAAATGGGATATGCTGAGATCATGTGCAAGCCATAATACTAGACATATTCCTGGAGGACAAGGAGCTAGTAGCTTTCTCATTTTTCGGTGGACCTTTTACTTCAAATATAATTTTTGAAGGAGTCCTGACGTACAGGTGCTCTTGTTTCTCTAATCTTTCTTCACTGGGTACTAATCGGAAAGGTCTAGGCCCCTACATGATCCTTCAGGTCCTATAGAAACTTTTACGCCGGGCAACCTTTCAGGACTGGGCCTTCAGTCATGTGATACTTGTTTTCACTCTGCTATGGGTATGTGTGTGTTTTTTGTTGTACTACTTGAGTCTGTGACTATCTAGCACATTGAGCTCCTCTCCGACCCAGGCCACACCTTGTACAGTGCTCCTATCCTCTTTTGTTACTCGAAAGATCATTGATATATTCCCCTTGATGAATAGCCATTCAGCTCAGTTTTTACCCGTGGAATTCAGCCACCTTTTCCACGGAACCTTCTACCCAAAAAAAAAAAAAATGGTAGCAATGGAAACTGCGTGCGCGGGAAAATGTCTCAAAAAACCTGCAGCCCCAGCCAGGCGAGGCCTAGACACCGGGACCACATGAGGTTCGTATATTCATCTATATCTCCCTTCTTTGTAATAATCGAGGGCGACTTGATCCAATCCGCCATCTCCGTATCGGGTGCTGGGTACGCTCCGGAAACTCATCAGATGGCTTTTCCTCCATTATCAAGGGTGGATGATGAGCAGGGCTCCGACCCTACCATCTGATCTGATCGTGGTTAGCTCCATGATCATGGTGAAAGGGGGATGTGTTGAGAGATGAAGAAGATACAGAGAGCGAGGGCGATTGAGAATCCTCGTCGAAGTGAGGACTTTGTTACTCAATCTCAGCTCTGTAGACTCTACAGTGAAAGCTGGAGGTTCATAGGGGGCACCACTGACAGGTATTGAGAATAGTCCCCCTCCAATCATCGTTTTAACTCGTGGTAGGACTTTCTACAGTGACGGCTTGTGAGCCTGTGCGTCTTGAATACCAATATCACTAGGCCCTTGTTGTACATGTATATCTATATGTAAAGGTCTGTTATGATCTGTACGGTATGTATTCTGTATGTCTAAAAGCTACTACTCTACTGAATTGAATTGAATTGAATAATTTAACGTATCAGGCTAAAGCCCTACACCCAGGAGGCTTGACACGGGTGCGTGTTCCCGGGGGGGCCCACAAACACCACTGATGCTGGCTTTATGTGGCCAGTAATTTACATGATCTAATAAAGACAAAAATTTTATCAAAAACTTTTGCTGCCCTAACTTAACGCCCTGCGCCTAGCCAGCTATCTCATAGCAGTTTCCTGTACTATATGTATCCCAGAATCCCTCGGTCATTCAAGTCCTACTTTGCACCCCGTAGCATCCTATTACGGTAAGGAATCTATAAAAAGCTATCCATCCCTTTTCTTCCAACATTGTCCGTATACTTGGTGCTATTTCCTTTGTTGTTTTCCGCCATTCATTTAGCGCTATCCGGAATTCAGAGAAATGCCACGGGCGTCTTTATCGGCCACATTTGCACATAAGGTCTATTCCTTCGTGGTGAAACCTCTTGTGATACTTGGCAAAATTGCCATGACCAGTCCTAGCCGCTATTAGACGGTGATACGCCCATCTTGGAAGAGCGAGCTCTGGTGGTTGTTTTCGCTTCATCAACAAATCCAGGTCTTTGTATCGACTGGGTCTATTCTCTCTCCACCAAGAATCGACGGTCTCCTCAGCACGGTCTCTAAGATATCGATTTAGAGCTGCGGAAGTGTATACTTGTCCTTGATTTGTTCTTGAGGTGAACGTTGCATTTGAGACCAACGGAAAATCTTTCAAAGCTGATTTAGCCATTTTATCCGCATCGATGTTCCCCATAATACCAGAATGGCCAGGGATCCATTGGATCTCTACTAACTCGTTTGATTGTAGGAGAGTTGTAATTTTGTCGACTGTAGCTTGGGACGACTTACTTCGTCCTGTTTTGAGAGAGCGGACAGCTTCAGAGTTATCGAGGAGCATCTTAATAGGGCAACCTCCTGCTAGAGCCACAGCTGATTCAAGGGCTTTTTGAGCGCCCACAAGTTCTGCGTCGTACACTTCTGCTCCTAGAACTATTCCAGCACCGCTACCAACCAGCCTGCTTCCTTTATATAGGGCGTATCCCCATGCAGATATCGCTGGGTTGATTGAAGAGCCATCTGAATAGGCAAATACAGTCTCTGTCGGGAGATTTTCTATCCATACCTTCGCGTACTCCGACTCATTCTTCCTACCGAAACCCGGTGAGAACTTGGTAAGGTAGGTTGACGGGTACGGAAGTTTTCCGGGACCTTCAGTGATTGGTACATTTAGAGCACTGTTCTGGAGTCGTGTCATATAGCGCTCTGGAACAGTGATAGGTCGGGCTTTCTGGCCTGTTCGGAGCTCGAGACACTTTATAACATCGATTGGTAGCTCCCTAGCCCTCAGTGATAGAGGGTGCCATACGTCCAATCGTTGGATACGCGCTGTTGACCGAAGTTGCCTCTGATCCAAAATGATTGCTGCTGGTGGAATACCTGATTCTCTTCGGAGAGCCGAGTTTTGGGTAGTGCGCCAAGCAGATAGTGCCGCTCTGACTGCCTTTAACATTGTTCTGTCCAACAGATCTGTATGCCAGCCAACTCCGGTACCAACTTTCTTGTCTCGCCGCGTGGTAATTCGGGCTAGGCCAGGCCACCATGCCTCCGCTCTATACAGTGCCGTACTTAGTACACAGGCGTGAACAGTTTTAACCATTGGTCCTGGTGCTATGCCCCGCTGAACCATATTAATACGCCGTATGAACTATGTTACACGCTGTGCTTTCCCGCACCATTCTTGCACGTGCTGCTTAAATTTAAGCTGGGAGTCAAGCCATACTCCAAGCCATCTCACGTGTGGGAATGGGGAGATATTGAGACCTTTCACCTGGATTGCAAGACCTGACGTGTCCAACTTTTTTCTTGGTCCGCCACCTATTATTAAAAGCTTAGACTTGACCAAATCAAAGTTGATCTAGTGCTCATCTGCCAGCTGAACGAGTTTATCTACTTCTATCTGAGCCGATGAGACAGCTTCAGCGGCAGTGCGTCCTATTCCGAGGGATGCAATATCGTCGGCATATCCGAATCTTTTTCCTTTCCCATCTTGAACTAAAATGGCAAAATATAGGAGGAAAAGAAGTGGCGATAGAGGTGAGCCCTGAGGTACTCCGCACTCCACTCCTTTTTCGCATGTTATTCCCTCCAGGTGACGAACGCGAATACTCCGCCGGGTCAAAAATGACTCAACGAATCGGCACAGTCTCCTCGACCACCCCTGGTCACGCATTCTACACAGTAAGCGTTTGTGAAGTACCGCATCAAAAGCTCCTTGCACATCCATCGTTATCATAGATGTAACTTTGTTACTCCTGATTGTCGCCTCGGCGTCGTGAATAACCCCGGAGACAAGATCAACCGCTGAACGTCCTGGCAGGGCCCCAAAAAGTTGTCGAGGGACTACTTCGTGCTCGATGACTGACCAAGCCATTCTTTTGGCTATGATACGTTCCAATCCTTTACCTAGGCAAGAGAGCAGAGAGATAGGCCGCCATCCCTTAGGGGTGGATAGATCTCGTCCAGACTTTAGAAGCAAGACTACTTCTGCGACTCGAAACGCTGATGGGATGTGTTCATGCTCCAGACAGGCTTGGAAAATGTTTCTTACATGCGTCCCAATTACTGTCTAGCACGACTTGAGCAACCTCACGGTTAATTTGTCGTTTCCGGGGGCCGTGTTGTTGCCGCCAATGGTGCATTCTGTAACGTCTGATAATGAAATTTTGTTGTCCCAAGGGATTCGCTCCGGTTGGTCCAGCTCCCATGTGGATAGGTCTTCGTCTGCATCAAAACGAGCCATCAAAGTGTCCCTTAAGCTCTCTGCTCTCTCGAGTGAGTCTGAAAGCCACTTGTCCTCTGCAACCTTTAGTGGGGGTGGCTCTCGATATGACTTAGGCTTAGCCCATTGCATCAGTTTAAATACTTGGGCGTCTGTAGTCGTATTTTCAAATTTTCTCCTCCAGTATTCTCTCTTGGCTGCTTTGACAGTAGCTCTGAACCTTTTCGGGCGTGGACTGCTAGAGCCGGATATGCTCTACAGTGTTTGTACTTCTGGTCACCACTGCCGTACTGACGTAAGGTTTGCGGTTGCCAGTGCCTTGATACTGAGTTGAAATCTCCTCCAACCACTGTAGGTCCTGAAGGTTTCCAGAGTAGTAGTGGATCTAGAGTGCCACTCGGGTCAGGCGCGCGGTAAACATTTACGAATGTAACCCTGCAAACCTGTACAAAACAGTAGTCAGCTGTTTGGCCTGAGGATGGGGTTATCTGTAGGTTTTGCAGGCCTTTGCGGGTGAAAGTTATTGCCCGAGGCCGAGCTACTCTCTCGCCGATTGGGCTGTGGCTATCGAAGCAAGTGTGACTTTTACTGATAAAGCTTCCGTCTTTTTGCATCGTCCATGGCTCTTATACCATTACAGCGTGCGCTCCTGATTCCCATGCTTGTTGCAAGGCTATGTCCATATTTTCTCGACCCTTTCCCACGTTCACTTGGTGAAATAGAAGATTGCTTTTGATTTCTGTGGGTGTG